CAGCAGAATTGTTTTTGTGAAGTTTCCTGTTATGATCACGAATTGATAGTTTTCAAATTTATACTGGCGTCTATCATGATTCTGTGGTACTTAGATCTCAATAAAAGCTTGCCAATCATGTTTACTTAGATCTCAATAAAAGCTCTCCAATCATGATTCTTTGGTACTTAGATCTCAATAAAAGCTCCCCAATCATGTTTACTTAGATCTCAATAAAAGCTGTCCAATCATGATTCTGTGGGACTTAGATCTCAATAAAAGCTTGCCAATCATGTTTACTTAGATCTCACCAAGGACAACAATTGTAGACCCTTCAGTGTGTTAAAGTTTTTCTATGGAGGCCTGTGGTTGTAACAAGACCTATTCATTCGTCACATAATGTCACAAGTTTCCTTAATAATCACAGTGCTTCTGACCAATAGCGACACACATATACCTGATTATCGCAGTACTTCTGACCAACAGACACACACACTCACTTGATTATCACAGCATTTCTGACCAATAGCCCCACTGCACATACACCTGATTCTCACAGTACTTCTGACCAACAGCCACACACACACACTTGATTATCACAGTATTTCTGACCAATAGCTACACATATATAACCTAGTATTTCAGTACTTCTGACCAACAGCCACACACACACACTTGATTATCACAGTACTCCTGACCAATAGCCACTCTGTGGTACTTAGATCTCATTAAAAGCTCTCCAATCATGATTCTTTGGTACTTAGATCTCATTAAAAGCTCTCCAAACAAGATTCTGTCGCACTTAGATCTCAATAAAAGCTCCCCAATCATGTTTACTTAGATCTCAACAAGGACAACAATTGTAGACCCTTCAGTGTGTTAAAGTTTTTCTATGGAGGCCTGTGGTTGTAACAAGACCTATTCATTTGTCACATAATGTCACAAGTTTCCTTAATAATCACAGTACTTCTGCCCAATAGCGACACACATATACCTGATTATCACAGTACTTCTAACCAATAGCCACACACATACACCTGATTATCTGCATTCAAACAATTTACAGGTAACAATTCTGAAATGACGTAAAACCAGCAGAATTGTTTATGTGAAGTTTCCTGTTATGATTACGAATTGATAGTTTTCCAATTTATACTGGCGTCTGTGACAGGGTTTCTGCTGGTTTATCTATATTGTAAGTGTGGTCAACATTGACTTTAGATAAACTTGTACACCATTAATCCCCAGGTGTTAATCCCCACCCGGCCACATCATTTACTGGAACAGTGAAATAAACATCTTTACATACACTGGAAATAACTGACATGACGGTATAAACATGTTTATGAGCTTAACAAATAATTAATGTTGTATATAAAGTAGTTGTATTGATCACTATTATGATTAAGTAGGTGTATAGTGTGATCAGTTGTGTCAGTGTGATGATAAATCGCCAGTATAATATATTCAATAAGATTCAGCAGTTTGGAAATATGTATTATCAAAGTTTTACTTTCTACTCAAATAATGTACGTATTAAACGTGTCGCAACGTTTTAAGACTGACTGGTTCCTTTGTCAAGCTATAACTGAGTGAGCGATTTATATTTTTTGCCTGTACAACGATGTGTTAAAATCGTATATTTTTTTATGTCACTTGACCTGGGACGTTTCGCCTTTCAATAAGGAGCTTATACACTTATACACACTGCATCAGATGCATTACAGGTAGGGTGAAAGTCTAGCACCCTCCCCTGTTATGTCAGTATCAGGTCAAACAGGTAATTCAGCTGGTGTCCCCCCCTCGTCTCTGTTCATGTTTTGAGTTATCCTGATTTTATTGCTTCTTCGATTGTCTCGTTTTTGTATGTTGTTCCCTCTCAACTATGCTGGCATTGTCACAATTGACAATGTGATTTTGGATGTTAGCGTGATCTGTTAATGTCTATTTATTGTACTGGGTGGCAGATGTTTTGCGTGTGGATCTGGTAAATGACCTGTTGCTCATTTTCTCTACGTCCTTTTGGTGTTCTTTCAGACGTGTACCAAATTTCCTCCAAGTTTCACCTATATATATGACTGCTGACATTTTTTGCATGGAATTTGGTATACAACTCCTGTTTTGTCTAAGATGTCAGTCTGGTCTTTGGGGTGCACAAGTAACTGTCTAAGTGTTGTCAATAATCTCATCGGGAAATGGTGTTTCTGCATCACCCGGATTTCTGAATTCAATACTCATACTTGTACAGCTGATTAAGATTTCTGAATTAATTACGTGTACAGCTGATTAAGATTTCTGAATAAACTACTCGTACAGCTGATTAAGATTTCTAAATTACTTACTCGTACAGCTGATTAAGATTTCTGAATTAATTACTTGTACAGCTGATTAAGATTTCTGAATAAATTACTCGTACAGCTGATTAAGATTTCTGGAATCCATTATTTGTACAGCTGATTAAGTTTTCTGAATACATTCTGGTACAGTTGATTAAGATGTATTAACCTGCCAGGAAACATACTGCTTTCTGGGGAAGTCCACTGAGATTACAATTATAAATTAAATCCAATTTTCAGCTTAGGTCTGGTGTCAGAAAAGATCTCAACTGATGCCTTTATTCATTGGCTATCAGAAATAAATAGGCCGTTTCATTTTGTTTAGAGTAAACGACATTGTAAATTACGAAATTAAATAAAGTCTTGTCATTATCAAGAAGTTTACAGAAAAATCAGATGTGAAGTCGTTATCAGTAAATAAGAAATTTCAAAAGTAAGAGGCCATATTTCACTCCAACTGACTGGATAAAAGTGGTATATAAGTTTAAGTCTCAAACAATTAGGATAGTTTATGTAGGGTTTTGTCCTTGGATTTGGCTAGGCCCACCCCAGGCATGGCGAAGTCGACAGAACACAAATTGCTATTACCAGTATGCATGTTGAGGTTATTACTTATCAAAATTAAATCTCTGCCATTCACATTTTAATGAAGTCAAATTTCCAATTCACACACAATAAATTTGTAGGGGGGATAAAGGGTCTTACATTGATCCCATGCACAGTACAGTAATTGACCGGGATTAAAAATGATTTAGTCCAGACTGGTGCTACCAATGGTCAGTGGCTTAATATCGGACTGTACAGTCTGTATAATACTAGGACAACACAAACAAACACAGGCAAAAGGAGGGCAATATTTATTCTACCTATTGGAATCTTTTCAATGAGGGATTATCTTAATTTAGCACTTGAAAAACAATTACAAGAAAAGGTGTAGAACTGAAATCCTCTAATCCGCGACAAATTCAACAAAGTTTAATCAGAGAAGAAAATAAAGTGTTAACTTCTCAGCAAAAGTATCAAATAGGGATTTCTCTACAGGTGTGGGTTGTTTATACTGAAGCTTCTTCCGAAGTGAAACTGTTATTGTCCTTGTGGCGGTTTGCCCATTATGTCCACTTGAAGTAGATTGTGTGGTCAGAGTTAACGAGCTAACGAGTTGTACTGTTTATACTATAAGAAGGAAGCCATGTAACTCAGAGGTTTGAACTCGGGTGACAGAAGGCACCTAATACTGACAATATCATAAGTACTTTGGTTTAAACCAAGGAAATACAAGGCACACGATGCTAACTTAACTTCATAACTGCCCAATTTTAGCCCAAGAGATACAAGGCATCAAATAGTGTACTGATAATATAATAAGTTAAGCCCCAGAAAATACATGGCATCGGATACTTTTTAAGTACCCGCTTTAATCCCAAGAGATACAAGGCATCAAATACTGAAAATATCACAAGTTTAGACCCAGGAAATAAAAGGCATATGATACTGACACTATGATAAGTTTAGCCTCGGGAGAGCCAGTATTATAGGTGAGACAGAGTGAAGTTTGTAAACACCACCACTGAGGCTTGGTTTGTAATAAACCCATAGATAATATTGTGCATCCCTATAAGGCTTGAAAAGATCTTAACGGTCTCTGTCGATTTGACAAATGAATTAAATTATCTTATTGGACGATGATGTATGTGTTTTGACCGCCAGATAAACAAGTCCAATTCACTTGACAATGGTAGGAATAGTGCGAGACAATGTCCAAACAATGGTCACACGTCCCCATTGTATCCACCTTATCTGCCCTTATCTCTCCTCATCGCCTATACTAGGGTATACTGGTGGGCTGTAGTGTATTGGGGTGTATACCAGAGTTTATTGGGGTGGCTATGTATAGGTAGCCAGGTGCCTTTAAGAAGAGTATTTGAGTGTGCGTGTGAGGACTGAAGGTGTATACAGGTGTAGGGATTGAGGCACTATAACCCCACTGTAGACGAGTACACATACCACTATGGATGTTGTAACCACTGTCGGGGTTCATGGCAAGACATCTTAATACCTTCGTCAAGATAAACACAATATCTTTTGTTTACCTTTGGAGAACAGCAAAAATATTTTCGAAAATGTGAGAAATATTGAAAATGTGGATTTATTTTGGAGTGGAAATATGTGATAAAAAAAGGTTTTAAAGAGCTTAGAGAAGCAGGACATTTAATGCCTCGGAAATATGATTGGGAAATGTCAGCATATCATAAGACATGTGAAGTTTGGAGTTGTGATTACAGTTGTGTGTTAGCATGCCTACATACTGAACAAAAACAGTCTAGTGCATCATGATGATGTCACATTGGACAGACTTGATTCACCCTCCTCCCCGGGAGATTTGGCCCTCTTCTGAGGAGCAGTATTCCCCTCCCCAGGAATCAAATCCCCCTTGGGAGTTTCATTCCCCACCCAAGGAGTTTTTCCCTCCTTCTCAGGAGTTTCAGAACGTTCGCCCAAACGCTGGGAGGTTTCAGAAGTTAAGACCCCATTCCCGTAACCAGGTGATGAGACAGCATTCTAACAATACCGAGCACTTAGACAACAGTGTTATAAGTGGTGCATCAGTGGCAAGTGACAGCTTACATTCACCTTTTGATGATGAAAATGGGGAACTTCTTTATCTCCAAATGTTGTATTTTCTAGATTGCAACACACGGAAAGCCGCATTTGATGATGTTGATGCTCGCCGAGAGACTATGGTCGTTTCACAGCCAGAGAATACACCAAGGGTAAGTACATACAGATTTTATACCCAACCTTCTGTCTCTCTGCTGTTACATGTGAAAGAGACGTGTAAGCATTTCTACTTTCTATTATATGTAACCATTCCTGCATCTTTATTTTACTCTCTTCCTTATTGTAACTGGTCTAGACTTGTCATCCTTGTGAGTTTTACTTTTGACTAGACATACTGAAGTATGATTAATGAAATATATTACTCCTGTGTGATGTTAACAGAGAAATCTCCATTCAAGGTAAGATTTCGAAAGTTTATAAAGAGGCTTGAGATTTCTCTCTCTTCAACAGACAAGAGTGATAGATTATTTTTCCTCCAGCACTTTCCAACTGTAAAATCAGTTTAAACTGTGAAGCCAATGCAATACGCCATCATCAAGGATATAAGAAAAGTGTGACGAAATAGATGATGCTATCCTAGTTACGCTGCATAAAGTGATGGCGCGATGGTGATGTTTTCAGAATAATAGCATGTGTGGGCTGTCTTCCCCCTTTTCCCTCAGCAAAATCTTGAGTGCACCTATAAAGTGTGGGAGAAACATAGGAGTATGTTGAATCTGACAACGTGCTGTCTGCTGGTTCTCATAATATTAGATTGTTGAATTTTGTGACAAATTGATAGATAATTGTCCAAACAAATCCAACAGTTTCAGCATAACTTCACTGATGTAGTCACCTTATGCAGATTTTGTGCCACTGTGCTTACTTCTTGTCTGGTTATGCCCCTTGACTGGCTATGCCCTTTTTCTGGCTATGCCCCTTGCCTAGCTATGCCCCTTTTCTGGTTATGCCCCTTGTCTGGCTATGCCCCTTTCCTGGCTATGCCCTTTTCTGGTTATGCCCCTTGTCTGGTTATGCCCCTTGACTGGCTATGCCCCTTTTCTGGCTATGCCCCTTGCCTAGCTATGCCCTTTTTCTGGCTATGCCCCTTTTCTGGCTATGCCCCTTGCCTGGCTATGCCCCTTTTATGAAATCCTTAACAAGATCTAGTTTGCTCACCCCTAATGCAAATTTTGGTTTAAAACCTCACGGATGTAATTGCCACACTCGTAAGTGGTGCCTCTCTGATGCCTGTTTTTATCTTTTGTCTGGGAGTAATTCCCCTTTTTCTGATTTCCATTTTTTTAAACACTTTATTTGAAGTGCTTCTATTTACCTTCTTGTTCCATATTAATCAAACTTTGTAGACCTGATTTCTGCCTTATGAAGTTGTTCCACTGTGATTTGTTTTTATAATTCAAATAATTTGATGGGTGTTATGACCCTTTACAAACTTTTATTTCAGGACACGGGTATAAGTTAGTGTGATTTTATAGTTCTAGATTGTCTTAATCTGAGTATGTTCAATTGCAACGATGTGTTTTTTCTCTTGAATTCTCACAATATAGTTATTGGGTGATAGGTTCTTTGTTTGAGTATCTGTATATGAACTTTGACTGTCTTCAGCGTTGTCTTTAAATTTGTAAATTCTGACAATATGCTTCATAGGTTCTCTGAATCTGAGTGTGCTGAATTTGTGCTGTTTAGGTTGTGCAAGTCTGGCGATATTGAATTCTGATGAACTGCCTTCTATATTTTCCTAAATAGAGTATGTTGAGTTCTGATTGATACATTTCCAACATGCATGGTTTAAACCAAACTTGATAATACCTTTTTTATGCATCAAATTAGTAAAAATGTGACTACCTACCCAGTTTCTCTCTATAATTGATACCTATCCAGTTTCTATATATGATTGATACCTACCCCGTTTCTATATATAATTGAAACCTACCCGGTTTCTATATATAATTGAAACCTACCCAGTTTCTATATATAATTGATACCTACCCAGTTTCTATATATAATTGATACCTACCCAGTTTCTATATATAATTGATACCTACCCAGTTTCTCTCTATAATTGATACCTACCCGGTTTCTATATACAATTGATACCTACCCAGTTTCTATATATAATTGATACCTACCCAGTTTCTCTCTATAACTGATACACAGCAGACATAGACTGCCTGTAAGAAGGAAGAATTTGTGATTAATGAGCTATGGTGCTTTTAGTACCATTTAAAAGCCATCTTATTATTGAAAAAATAATTCACAGGTAAAAAAATAGAAAAGCAGTTGTAATGAAGATCATCTCCAGATGGATTTTTTTTTATTTCAACTATTGATTTTATGAGTAAATTAACTGTAGACATAAATGTTCAGTTGGTAAAATACGGACAGAACGGCCAATATCTGTTTACCTGTCATTCTGTTGCAGTGTGTCGTAGATCGTTTGTAGATTCATTTAAAGAATATATCTTTTCTTCATTTAATATGTAAAACCACTACTGATATTCAAAATATAGAACAGTATTTTATATTCAAATGGTCTAATATGAGAAAATACCTTTAGTTTATTTTTCCTCATAAAAAGAGATAAAATTAACTACAGGTATGTTTTCATGTCAGACCGGGTTAGATATAAGTAAACTACAGGTGTGTTCTGATGTTAGACCAGGTGAGATACAAATAAACTACAGGTGTGTTCTGATGTTAGACCAGGTAAGATACTAATAAACTACAGGTGTGTTCTGATGTTAGACCAGGTGAGATACAAATGAACTACAGGTGTGTTCTGATGTTAGACCAGGTGAGATACAATAAACTACAGGTGTGTTTTGATGTTAGACCAGGTGAGACAAAAAAGGCCCAAACCATACATAGTCCTTTCAGTTGTATTCTTATGCTACGCATGGCAACTAAAAGAAGTTCAATACTTATATCTCCTTTTTTGGGATATGTTTTTATAACAGAAAATTCAGTTACTTCTATTATTCAGCATTTATTTCAAATAGTGTTTTCGTCCAATATGCATCTGTCTGTCAGGGGAGTTTCAGTGGTACCAACTTTACAATTATGACATCATAATAATGTTGACGTCAATAATTGGTTTATGGCATTCATAACTTGTATGAATGTCATCTGAATAGGTAAGGTTCTGTAGTGGCAATGCCATATGATGATTAATATTTAAAATTCTGTAAAGGAAATAGGTGTAAAGAGACCTTCAAGTTTTGTCAACAGTATTAAACTTCAGTTATTTTGAAAAGCATGAGTTTTGTCCACATTAAGTCACCAGTAAACACTGTTATGTAGTGAAGGACAGCTCTGGACAGCTCTGGTGTCTTCACCACATTGTTTAATAGCAGTGCTATTCCTGGAGCAATTCTGTCATTCATCATCCTTTATGTTAATCCCGGCTTTACCTTGGTCAGTGAACATTTAAGGAAGTTCATGCTATAGACAGCACATAATTAATTAGATTTTCATGGATCGTGTTCCAAAGGAATGGATTTCTGTATAAAAAACAACCGAAGGCTATTTTTACTGTCAATACTGTTTTAATAAAAAGGAATACAAACTTCGTTTTTAAATTATATTTATAAAGAGTTAATACAAGATATTTTGCTAGTAACCATGTGACGTCAGTGGGATGTTGCAGTACACCTTATTTCTTGAGAGATCCCTCAAACAAATTGACATGCTCTGTTGAATATATTTCTGTAAATCTTTATCAAATAAAAACTTAATGATACCTGTTCATCGGGCACAAAAGACAAAAATATAATAAATATACTTTATCAACTTTTGTCACCAAGTGTCACATTCAAAAGAGACAAGTAATTTAGCATGTCACTGCATGCTGTCTGAGTTGAGACTTGTTAAATGAATGTCCCAAATGTCAAAATTGATTTGCTCAAGTTGTAAATTACTCTTTTATTTGCAACAAATATTTTGAAGTATGTGTTTTAAGAGATAGAATCATTGGCCTTTTGACTTTGTCGAGATCATTTGAAGAGCCGTACTCCATTAGATCTACAACCACACACCTCGCCTCGACAGATGTGTCAGCAAACCAACGGTTTATCACACATATTTCACACAATTAATGGAAAAATTAATTTATTTTCAATTTGTTTTCTAGAACTACATAAAAAATGTCCTGAGTCAATTTAAAGAGCTATATAAAGTTTGAAGTGTTGGTTGATTGTAGATGTTATCACTGCCAGTCCGTGTGAGAAGCCGGGAGTGTTGTCTTGTGTAGAACATTTATTACCTGGAGTGTGCTACTCCTCATCACAGAGCTGTACTACACTGATATAATGTAGTTTAATGATACCAACAGAGATGGAAACCAATGTACAATCAAAACAAAGTCATTTAGAATCAATATAACCTAGGAAGCTTCACTCTGTCATAAAACTTTGACAGTGTTTTCACAGTTAGGTCATCTGTGGTAAGGTGGACGATGTTCAGCTCACCGCAGGTATTCTTTTAATCTTCCATTGAGATAACTGCAGGGCTACAACATTCAGGGCAAGGCATTAACGGCTTATTGGTGGGAGTCTATTGGTTGTGACCAAGATAACTTAATACCAAAAACATTAGATGTAATCCCTCCGATAATGCAGGGTGCAGAGGACCTTTGGGGCTGATTGATGGCCCCTGCTGGTCCAGACATCAAGGATCAGAGATAACCACAGCTACAATGACATTCTTTAATGATCAATCGACAAAAGATCATATCAGGCTAATTACAAAACAACTCTTTGACAGATAGGGAAACATACACATGCCACAGATTGGGAAATACATACACATGCCAAAGATAGGGAAACATACACATGCCAAAGAAAGGGAAATATACACATGCCACAGATAGGGAAATATATACACATGCCAAAGATAGGGAAATATATACATGCCACAGATTGGGAAACATACACATGCCATAGATAGGGAAATATATACACATGCCAAAGATAGGGAAACATACACATGCCACAGATAGGGAAACATACACATGCCACAGATAGGGAAATATATACACATGCCAAAGATAGGGAAACATACACATGCCACAGATAGGGAAACATACACATGCCAAAGATAGGGAAATATATACACATGCCAAAGATAGGGAAACATACACATGCCACAGATAGGG